AATGCTGACCCAGCCAGTGATGCCCACATCCTGTGCCAAAATTTTAAAAACAAATCTCATTCCCAGAATCTAGAGGCTGAACGATGCTCCACGATAATCACAATGACATTTTGGAAGTGTTTGCTTTTCGTAAAAGTAATTTGATAGCAAGTCTGATACAGCTAGCATTTTGCAGTGAAATATTTGTACAGATTCATTTTAACCCTTGGGAGCTGATTTTTTTTTCTTAAACCTGTTAAAATGTACAGGAATGTTCCTGCACATGGAACATCTAAAAAAGAAATGACTGTAATGCTTGTAGTGATGACGATTCTAAACAGGCAACGGGAAGCTCCACAATATTCATAACATCTATAAAATTAACTTTATATTTCAGTCCATTGAGGTAGACTTCATAAACTAGTATTCCCAGTACAAGGTTTTATTTGATGGGAATTTGCATTATTACAGTGTAAATGTATTGTAAATAATACATCAGTAGCCTCTCTTGCAGATCAGTTAGAAGCTGAAAGAGGAGAATCAGTTTTAAGATTTCAGACAGACACCTTAATCTCAGTTCTGATGGAGAGACGGGCTCGAGGTTTTAGCTCTTTATCAGACTGATACTGACATGCCTTGTTGGCATTTCCAGCAGTTTTTCCCGCTTTGGTTTCCAAGATCATTTCAGGCAATTTTTTTCACTGCTTGTTTCTGGACACATTCTGTGCTTTTGGAATTTGTCTACAAGCAACTGTTCCTGAATGATCTTAGAACTGACAGTTTCACCAGCAGGTGCCATTCGGCTTTTCTACGCGCTGTCCTTTACAAAATTAAGTTGTTGGTGCCCAGCTGCCACTACCAAAGCCTCTCGTCCTTTAGGACTAGTTTTTTTTTAAGAGTCATCTACTTTCCGTCCTGGCCTCGTCTTGACTGATCAAATTTACCAGAGCTCTTAAACAACAGCTACTTGCATTTTATGAGGTGGCCTAAAAGTAAAGAAACACAGCCAAGGCTCCTCAACTGAGGCATAATCTGGAATTAAACATGCACGGCCTGAGTTATCTGTTGAGACTTCCAAATCCTTGTCCAATTCCTTTTTAAGCTACAGCTTCAATAACCACCCATGGTGACGTGCTCCAGTAACACTATGTGAGTTATAATTTCTTTTAACTTTTCCCTTACCTCATGATCACCCTGAATCCACCCCCAAAGCATGAACAAAACAATCCTTTTAATACCTACCTTTGAAATATAGAAAGTAGGACCAGGAGTAGACCACTCGGCCTTTCAAGCCTGGTCCCCAATTCAATATGATCATGGTTGATCATCCAACTAGATACCCTATTCCAGCTTTCACCCTAACCTTTTGATCCCTTTAGCCCCAAGATCTAGATCTCACTGCTTCTTGAAAATATTTAACGCTTTGACCTCAACCATGTCTGTGGCAGAGAATTCCACAGGCTCACCACTCTCTGAGAGAAGAAACTTCTCCTCATCTCAGTCCTACATAGCCTACCGCATATCCTTAAAGTGTGATCCCTGGTTCTGGATTGCCCAGTCATCAGGAACGTCCTTTCTGCATTTGCCCTGCCTTAGTCCTGTTCGAATTGTATAGGTTTCCATGAGATCACTCCTCATTCTTCTAAACTCCAGTCCTAACTGATCCAATCTCCCTTCATGTGTCAGTTCTGCTACCCCAGGAATCACTCTAGTAAGGCTTCATTGCACTCCCTGCATTGCCAGAATATCCTTTCTCGGATAAACAGAGCAAAACTATACACAGTATCCCAGGAGTTGTTTCACCAAGGCCCTGTACAGTTGCAGAAAGACATCCCTATTCCTGTATTCGAATCTGCTCACTGTGAAAGCCAGCATACCATTTACCTTCTTCACTGCCTACTTCTCCCATATGCCTTCTTTTATCAATGTGTACAAGTACACCCAGGTCTTGTTGATCCTCCCCCTTTCCCACCTTATTGCCATTCAGACTATCATCTGCCTTCCTGCTTTTAATACCTCACATTTATCCACATTATAGTTCATCTGCCATGCACTTACCCACTCACTCAACTTCTCCTAATCACACTGAAACATCTCTGCATCCTCCTCACACCTCCCCATCCCACTCAGTTTTGTGTTTTTTGCAGTCTTGGAGATGTTATGTTTTGTCCCCTCTTTCAAATCATTGATGTGTTTTGTGAATGTCTGTGCTCCAAACTCTGATCGCAGTGGTATCTCACTGGTCACTGGCTACCTTAGAAATGACCCATTTATTCCTATTTTTTGTTTCCTGTCAGCCATCCATGTCAGTGCACAAATCCCAATCCCATGCATTTAAATTTTACATGCTAATCTCTTATGTGGGACCTTATCAAACTCCTTGTGAACTTCCACGAAACCACACCTATTAGTTTTCCCTTATCAACGTCACTTGTTACAGCCTCAAAAAATTTCCGATAGATTTGTCAAGCATGATTTTCCTGTCCATGTGCCCTGCAATTAAATATTTTATGATGGACTCCAGCACTTTCCCCACTACCAATGTCAGGCTAACTGGTCTATAATTCCCTGTTTTCTCTCTACCTCCTTTTTTAAATAGTGCAACTACCCTCCAATCACTAAGGATTGTCCCAGAGTCTATAGAATCTAGAAAGATGACCACCAATGTATTCACTATTTCTAGGCCCATTTTCTTAGTACTCTTGAATGTAGATTATCAGGCCCTAGGGATTTGTCAGATTTTATGCCCATCTGTTTCACCAACACCATTTCCCTCCTAATACTTCCTTCAGTTTCACTCTGTCACGAGACCATATGATCCCCAACACTTTTTGTGAACCAAAGTATGTATTTAGTTGGTCTGCCACTTCTTTGTTCCCTATTCTACCTTTCTCTATTTCTGATTGGAAGAGACCTACATTTATCTTCACTAATCTTTTACTTCTCACATACCTATAGAAGCTTTTACAGTTTGTATGTTCAATGCAAGTTTACTCTCATACTCTGTTTTCCCCCCTCTCAGTCAATCCCTGTGTCCTCCTTTGCAGAAATCTAAAGTGCTCCCAATTCTCAGGTCTGCTTCTCTTCTTGGCCAATTTGTATGCCCTTCCCTTCAATCTAACAATATCCCTATTTCCCTTATAGCCATAGCCAGGCCACCCTTCCCATTTTATCATAGACAGCCTCATATCAAAATAGTTTCCTCTATTTAGATTCTGGCCTCACCCTCCATCTTAATGAAGAATTCTATCATGTTATGGTCACTCTTCCCCAGGGGACCTGGCACAGCTAGACTGACAATTATTCCTTTCTCATTACACAATTCCCAGTCCAGGATGGCCTGACCTCATTAATGTGTTGGTTCCTCGACTTATTAATCTGAAATCTTCAATACTCCACCAGTTCAGCCTAATCAATCCTTAACTGTGGTACTGTTTACACAAGGAACATTATTCATATTAAACAAGCTAAAATGAAACACTATTGAAACACAATCCAGCTATTTTTACAGTGGCAAAGCTTGATGTAGCACATCACAATCCATTTATTTTTCAACACATGAATCTTTTCTTTTAGAAACTGCATCACAAAGTTGATAAGACACGCCTCAATTTCACAAACATAAATAGGTTTATTAAAAACTGAACACGCATGCTTAGATGCATGCACAGTGAAGTTTATTGTTGGTATAAATTTGTTCGACAACTACTGGAAAGTCCACATTTTTAAAAAATTAAATGTATTATTTCTTACTCGTTCCCCCATAACTTAGTTGCCTTATATGTCATAGATATAAGTTTATGTTTTGTGGTCATTTTAATTTGCACTTTTGCAGAATTATCTGCCAAGAACACTAAACTAAGAATAACTATAATCAGATAACCAACACAGTTGGAAATGTCACTCTTTATTAAAAGCAATCACAAAATTGAATATATGACCAGAGTTAAACCTGGTGGAATGTACTGCAGAGGAAGCATGTTTCTGTCTGTACTGTAAAGCCATTTTACTTAAAAGGTTACTTTTACTTTAAAAAGACATCATGTAGAGGTTGTACAGACATTGGTGAGGCCTCTTCTAGAGTACTGTGTGCAGTTCTGGTCGTCCTGTTAAAGGAAGGTTATTATTAAACTGGAGAGGGTTCAGAAAAGCTGTTGCCAGGTCTGGAGGGTTTGAGATATAAAAATAATCTGGTAAGACTGGGACTTATTTCACTAGAGCGTAGGTGGTTGAGGGGTGACCTTATTAAGATTTATAAAGGCATGAGGGGCATAGATAAGATGAATGACATGGGTCTTTTCCATAGGGTAGGGGAGTTCTTAAGTAGGGGGTATATTTTTAAGATGAGACGGGAAAGATTTAACATGGGCATGAAGGGCAATGTGTCTATACAAAGGGTGGTTCATGTGTGGAATGAACTGCCAAAGGAAGTGGTGGATGCGGGCAGAATAGAATGGGATAGAAATTTATTGAGAAGTGTACTTTTACGTGAAAAATACAGTGACAAGTTTTATAAGTTGTCCCACCGTGGCACCTACATCAATGACGGAAGTCATGCATAATAATAAAAAAAAGTACAATTAAGACAAAGTTCATCACAGTTGAGTTAACGAGGCATGAGGAAAGCCAATTTAGGAACGATGGAATACCCTGAAGATGCAGCCATGATGAGACCATCATGCTACGCTGCTGGAACACTGGGTCAGAAGCCTCTGCCAAAGAAGACTGCAATGCCAGGCCGAGATCACCACTCCTGGAAGAGACCGCATGCTGGAATACCTGGATGCCGAAGACAAAGAAGACCTGTACATGAGGAAAAGACCTCCATGTCAGGAGAAGGCCACCACATCAGGAGACCATCACACAGGGAGACCGCCATACAGGGAGACTGTCACACGGGGAGACTGTCACGCAGGGAGACCGCCACGCTGGGTCTAGACCGCCCTTCTCCTCCTTAAGGCACTCAGGCCTAGCTGCAGATCTGGAGCCTTGGTCTAGCCTGTGGATCCAGGCCTGGGGAGTCAGCCTGGAACCTGTTCCTTGCTTGCCAGGAGACCCTTGGCTAAGGTCAAGCCATTAACAGCTCGTCCCAGTACTGCTGCTGCCTCAGGAGGCTCAAAAAAAAAAGTAAAGAAAAGAGCAAAAGCAAAAAGAAGATAATAAAGGGGAAAGAAAGCCAACAGGAGCAGATGGGCCCTGGGCTCAGACCCCTACTCTGCCACCATTTTGAAAAATGTTAGATATTAAAAGAGACGTTAGGAAGCACTTCTACACGGAAAGGGTTGTAGATGTTTGGAACTCTCTTCCACAAGCAGTAGTGGATGCTGGATCAGTTATTAATTTTAAATCTGAGGTAATTTTTTTGTTAAGCAAAGGTATTAAAGGATATGGGGCAAAGGGATGGTATACGGAGTTAGGCCACAGATCATTGAATGGTACAGTTACAATGTTTAAAAGACATTTGGATAAGTTCATGAGTAGGAAAGGTTTGGAGGGATATGGGCTAAGCGCAGGCAGGTGGGACTGGTTTAGTTTGGGCTTATGGTTAGCATGGACTGGTTGGACTGAGGGGTTTGTTTCCATGCTGTATGACTCTGTGACTCTATTAATCCAGAAAACAGTTTCATATACATTTCAGGAATTCCTCCTCTATGGCATTGTTGCTGACTTGATATTCCCAATCTATATGCAGATTAAAGTCACCCATAATTAGAGTTGTATCTTTCATGCTGGTATCTTTAATTTCCTGTTTAATGCCTTTCCCATCATTTGGGTGTCTATCTTCAACACCACCATTGGTTTCTGTCCCTTGGCATTTCCAAGCCTTACCTATACAAATCCCACTTCACTAGAGCTAATAGTCTTCCTCACTATTGCATTGATGAACTCTTTAACCAGCAATGCTACTCCACCTCCTATTTCTCTTTGTCTGTGTTTCCTAAAAACAGAATAACCCTGGATATTCAGTTCCCACCCCTGGTCACCGTGCAGCCATGTCTCCGTAATCCCAATTATATCAAATTAATTTATATCTATTTGTGCAACTAATGCATCCACATTGTTGTGAATGCTCTTTGCATTTAGACACAAGTACATAAGTCTTGTCTTCACTTTTAGCCCTGTTCACATTATTTTGCACCATGGCTTAAATTCCCTGCCTATCAACGATCTTATTTCAGATCCTGTCTTTTATTTTTTTGGCCATGTTTCCCTCTATAATGTCTCCTGGTATTGGTTCCCGTCTCCCTGCCATTTTGGTTTCAAATCTCCCCAACTGCACTCGCAAATACTCCCCCTCCTCCATCACTTCTGGTCCTGTCCAGGTGCAACCCATTCAGCTTGTATGGTCCCACATCCCCCAGAATTGGTTCCGTTGCCCCAGGAATGTGAAACCCTGCCCTTCACACCACCTCTCCAGCTACAAGTTCATCTGATACGTCCTGCTCTACTCTGACCAACACATGGCACTGATAGAAATCCTGGGATGCCAACTTTTGAGGTCCTACTTTTTAAGGTGCTTTCTAACTTCCTGACAGGCAATTCCTCCCAGCAATATCCAAAATGGTATACCTGTTTTGTAGGAGATTCCTGTACTGGCTCCCTAGTCTCCTTAATCTGCCTGGTGGTCTCTCTGCCAATGGGTCTGCAGAGTGTCTGCCTCTCTGTACATGCTATTCACGATACTGTCAGCCTTACAAATGTTCCAGCAGCTGCTCCAGCTCCATAACTTTGGCTTCCAGGAGCTGTGGCTAGAGACACTTCCTGTACACATCCTGGTCCCTGGAACTGGAACTGGAACTGCATCCATCTTCCCACGTGGAGCAGGAAGGGCACACTATGGCTTTGAGCTCTCCTTACATGACCTGCCCCTTTAAATAGAACTGAGAGATGGCCCTTGAAAATAAATAATATTAACTATTCTCAGACCCTTTCTCTCTGGTGCTCTGCACTATTGTCTTCACAAACTGTAAGCCCAAACTAAAGATCTTACAAACTATAAGTGATTAAATTTGTATAAATACCCACCGAATGTGCTCACCTGATCGACTGCTTCCTCTTGCTCACGTCACTTTTTGAAGCTCCACCTCAGCAGTTTTGCCGCTATGTTCCGTGAAGGTTCACTGTACAGCTGCTTTTAAACTGAAGGTTTCTGCCCTCCTGCTGCTCTCTTTCTGGTCTCTCTTGCTTTCTGATAACAATCTGCTGTGTTAGGTCTTGGTCGGATGTTTGGTTTGACTTTCCTGCCTTCAAATCGTCCATTTCCAACACCAGCCAACAACATTGTAGATTCTCAGTGATGTTATTGTTTTTTCAACAAGATCTGTCTGCAGGCCTCTCTTCCCAATCAGTTTTACAGTGATGTCCATCCTCAGTCATTTTGGGAACACCAATTAGCTCATCCCTTCACTTTCCCTCTTCATAATGAAAGCCTCCTAATTTGTCTGACCTTTCTCATCACTAGAACTTCTGATTCCTGGTATTGTTTTGGCGATGCTCTCTTTTCTGTCTTCTTTCTATAACTCCTCGGCCTATATGAAGGGTCAGTGATGGCACACAAAACCCTCTGTAACTTCACCAATCTCTTGTATATATTCAACATCGTTTTTGTTTTTTAATAAATGCTGCATTTCTGCCATTAAAGATTTACACACTTCCAGCTTTTAAACACTCTTCCTGCACTCTGTTAGAAATATTGCATGTTTAGTTTTGCATCCTTTCTAAGGACTTCTAATACATAGAGAGCAGAGTCAAACATACGCAGAGTTCTAGTGCTGTGTAACAGCCAAGACACAGTGTAAAAGAGTACATTTACTGTCAACATTAGGCCCAATACTTGTCCCCATTTATTGCTGCAAGCCTACATTGTAGGCCCAGAAAACTCTTCTAGAACAAAATACACAAATAGGCTGATAAACATTGACATGTAGTAAATATTTGGGGGTGGGGGGTGGATCGAAGAATAGTTATAGGTTTCAAGAGGCCTTTGGCAGTTGGTGGAATGAGCAGACACAAGGCAGGTAGAATCGACAACAAAATGTGAACTGATATCTTTTTAGGAAGAGTGAGAAGAGACGGAGTCTGCCACATGATACAGCTTTAAAGGAGGTGCTAGAAGAGAATGACCAGAGGGTCTTGATGCACAAATCGTCGAAGGTGACAGAACAAGTTAACAAGACACTTAGTGAAGCATAGGGAATCCTGGACCTTATAAAGTGGAGGTGTATAGAGTCCACAAACCAGGAATTTATAGTAAATATGTATAAACCACGTGTTGAGCACATACTAGAGTGGTCATTCCACCTTCAGATGATCATGAACGTTTTGGAAATTCATTAAATTGTTCCAAGGTTGATAGAATACTGTTAAGTAGATAAGCTTACAACATTGGTGTTGCTGTCAGAGCAGGAAAGACCAGGAGGTGATTTGCTCAAAGTGTTTAAAATCATGAAAAATTTTGATGTAGTGAAAAAAAGAAACTGTTTCCAGTAGCAGAGTGAGACTAACCAGAATGCTTTTCGAAAGAGCTGTCAAGGACTTGATGGGCCAAATTGTCTCTTTCTGTGCCATGCTGTTGCATGGTGCTGTAATTCACCCCCTCCTGAATCAAATATGCAAGCTCTGATCAGCTGGTTAACATTGATGCAATGGATAGGCCTTCACGGTACATGTCAGGTCTGACCAAGTAATATCTTTGTAGGAATCTATGTTTCCTTTCCTCCTAATGTGCTGAATCACATCTCTGTAGATTCCACATTCTTCACAAACTGATTCAAGGGGTACACTGAAGAAACTAGTCTTCAACACTGCTGAAGATGGGGAGGAAATCAGAAAGAATGTCGAATGAGCGCAAGTGATTCATTGAGGCCAACATTTAGTGACTGGGGAATACCATTTTACTTTCACTTCTTACTGGCAATTTAGTTTTATTCAGCTTTCTTCTCCAAACATATACATTTTTATAAAATTTTTAGAAATACATTCCACAATCCTTCAAATTAATCTGTAACACAGATTAGATTCTTTCAATACTTGCCATTTAAAGATATGTTTAAAATGTACATTTACAGTTCACATAAAAACATTCTGGACTGAGTACAGCGCGAGGGGTTTAATAGGGGTTCCAGCTCCCTCCATGTCCCAGGGTGGGAGAATCACACAGTGACCTTTCCCCACTGAGCCTTTGCAATGGCTGGTTCAAGCTTTAGTGTCTCTCCACCCATCCCTGTGCCTTCGCAGTGAGCAGTATTCGACTTGGAATGTGGCAGTCTGCAACACTCAGCTGATCAGCAGCTTTCAGGCAGACCAGAGAGCCCTTGTTTACTGAGTTGATGCTCCTTTCACAGTGTTAATTTATCTTGACGTGTGTTGCTGGGAACCAGTGGTGGTTTGAATCAGCCGCATGATTGTGTGTGTCAGTGCCCTGCATCTCTTGGCCCGTCTCGACAGTGAATGGATATTCTACAGTTCATACTGTCACCTTGGACATCTCTCGCTCCTCAATCTGCACTAGAGGGTCAGACTCTATAAGTCACAGGAGTAGAAGTAGATCATTCAGCCCATTCAGTGATATTGTGGCTGATCTAATAATCCTCAACTCCACTTCCCTGCCTTTTCCCCTTACTGACTGATTAAAAAAACTGTCCATCTCAGCCTTGAATAGATGTCACCACCCAGCCTTAACAGCCCTTGACAGTAAAGAAAAGCTCCACAGATTCACTACCCTCTGAGAGAAGAAATTTCTCCTCCTCTCTATCTGAAATGTGCAGCCCCTTATTCTGATTTTCACAGGGCTAGGAAGTAGAGTGATAGCAGCAACATCTAGAACATTCTGCCACTGTCACAGGCAGTTGGAATGAGAGATACATTTTAGAACACATGCCCTGTTAAACCCAATGTGACCGGGGGTAGCGGGAATTTGGGCAAAACAAACATTACGACTCTATCACGAATCACTTCCCTGAGTTGAAATATATTGCCAAATCGATTGACAGTGCTCACGAGTTCTTTATAAAACTTGTGCCATCTAAACATGGAGGAAAGCCAAGCTGTTAATTGGACAGGTGCTACATTGGTTACAAAATTATGGTTGATGACCCAAAACTTCATTGCAGCT